GGGGTTTGCATCACCATCTGAGCTCTATGCCCTTGACTCTCTGCCTGGCCCCAGACTCCTTGTTTTGCATTTTGACTCCCAGGGACCCCTCCTCTGCTGCTTCTCCTGCCAACCTTCCCATACTACAGACCAGTCACCTCCACTTGCCTCAGCTGCCTGGACCTACAAAGCTTCTTTGTACCCTCAGCCTGGGTCGTGCCGACTTGTAGGATGTGTGTGGTGCTGCCTTTTTCTGTCTTTCTTATTTATTTATTGGTACTGGGGATTGAACTCAGGGCCACTCGATCACTGAGCCACATCCCCAGCCCTATTTTGCATTTTATTTAGAGACAGGGTCTTACCGAGTTGCTTAATGCCTTGCTTTTACTGAGTCTGGCTTTGAATTCAGCCTCCCGAGCCACAGGGATGACAGGGGGTGTGGTGTTTTCTTGGTCATGATCCACAAGGCATTCTGCCCTAGTGGCACCATTAACCACCTGCCATTAACTCCAGACCCCAACCTCCAGCACACGAACCTGAAGTCCAGGCCAGAGGGCAGAAGGCTCAGTAGACAAAAGTTAACTGGCATTCTGTGTGGCAGGAGCAGGGATGCCCTTGGTCAAGGGCATTGTGGTTGGCCCTATGCAAGCCTCCCTGCTGGCCTGGCTGGCCGTGCAGAGAGGTGGGTTTGCCCAGGCAGGGAGACCACCAAAGCCAGCCCAGAAGGAGAGCACTCAAGGAAGGAGACGGCATATTCTAGGGTGAAGGAACTCTTAGAGGACACTGGTATCCCTCTCCTGCTCTCTTTAGCCCCATGTCCTCTGGCCCTGCTTTTAGCAGGAGTGAAGAGAGCCGTGTACACCACTATCTTTGTATACCTTCCAAATAGACTTGTGAGTCTGGCCAGGTCCTCAAGAGTGACCTGTTGGCCCCAGGGCAGTCTCTGGGCTCCTGTTCCTCATCTGAGAAGACAGTGCCAGCTGGGGTCAGAGAAAGGGGTAAAAAATTGGACTGGGAAGCCCCCACTCCCAGCTATAGTAAGGAGGGTAGTCGCCCTTTGTGTGGGCCTAATGCCAGAGAGTCCACAGGTGCCCAGAGAGCTGAATGCCGAGGCCAAGGGAGAGGAAAAGGTTAAAATTCTTCATAGCTGGCCCCACCATGAGCAAGGGCTGAAGAATTCCTGACTTCCTGTCCCCTGCCAACAGCTGCCCCAGCCCTGTGCTCACCTGGATGAACTAGCCCTCACAGGCCAGAGCAGCCAGCGACATGATCTCTGCCAGACGCAGAGGGGGACCCACGAGGTCTTTGTAAGGGTTTCTCCCAAATGAGCTGAGCAGGGGTCCCACAGCATCCCCCCTCTCCTGGCCCACAGTTCTTCTCCAAGTCACCCCAGGAACCCCTGCTCCTACATTCTCTGGTTCTGAGAGGACCCGTTTCATATGGCCTAGATTGTTCCTTCGGCCTCCTGCAGGCTGCGGTCACACCATAGTCAAGTGATAAGCACAGCCCCGCCTGTCCTGCCTGACAGGAGGATCCTACCCTTTCCTGTGCCTCCTTCTTATCACTGTCATGGGTTCTGGAATTTTATGACAGACTCGGGTTTTTATTCTCTCCAAACTCTGAGCCTCTCTCTGAGCCCGACTCCGCCATCTCCTGCCTACTGACCTTACACATGAACTTGCCTCTAAGCCTCAATTTTCTCTTCTGTAAAATAAACCTCGATGAAATGACACTGGTGAAACTTGCCCCGGGCCTGCCCCACAGGATGTGGTCCGCAAGGCTGAGCACAGTGGCTCAGTAGGAGCCTCAGTAGGAGCCCTTCTCATAAATGGCATCCTTGGTTCCGCTCCTGACCCTCTCCCAGGCTAGGCTTTTTCTCTCTGGCCCCACCTCACGTCCACATCTGGCTGCCCCAGAGCGAGGTGGCTCTGAGGGGAGATCTGAGAACATCGGCCAGGGCAGCCCAGCTGGCAGCCAGTGGGCGGCTTACACTTGCTCACGGATCTGTCCACCATGAAAGTGCCAGCAGCCACGTCTCCTGGTGGAAGCGGACACCTCAAGGGTGGACAGTTGGAGGCATTTGTTGTCACTTAGCTGTGCCGTGGCCAGCCTCCCAGACCCACTTCCTGTCTGGTGGCACATCACCTTGGTGTCTTCCGGGGAGCCCAGCCTTCTCGTGTCCACTGGGAGGCCTTCCCATTACCAGGACAGGGGTCCCAACCCTTGGGACTCATGTCCTGGACCTCACAGGGCCAGCTCAGCCATGCCCACTCCATCAGGGCTGCTCCGTCGGCTTCTCTGCAACTGCACGCGCACCCGCCCCCACAGTGCTTCCTCCCTTCCCTAATTACCACCCCAACCTGGTCTCCTGGGTCTGTGGCTGTGGACTTGACCTCTGTCCTGGCAGCTGGGAACTTTGATCCTGCAACAATCCCTCCATCCAGTTCCCCTGGCCCACCCAGGGCCTCCCTGGTGTGACCATCACCTCTGACACCTGGAGGGAACCCAATCCCCCCACCTTCAGGCCAAGTCCCTTTGAGAAGCCTCAGCACCATGGGGGGTAAAGTGGGACTGGGCCGAGTCCAAGGGGTTGTGAGTGAGGTGTCCACAGGAGCACGAAGCACTGTCCTGGGGCCGCAGACCCCAGGACAAAAGAAACAGGGTTCCATAGATCTGTGGCCAACACAAATCACCATCATTAACATGAGCCACTGCCACAGTCTCTGGGCTGGGACGCGGTTGGAGCCAGGCAGAAACCGCAGAGCACACACTCCAATAAAATGGCAATAAACGGTGCTGCGGCTATGGAACTTGTTTCAATGTTGTTCCAAAACCTTGTTGAAGTGCTTTTATTGTTTCTGTGTGAAAGAACACAAATGCGTTTTGAAAACTGCTTCGGCATCAGCCTCATCTCTGGGAAGTCTTTCTGATGATCTCTTCCAGTCCCCACCCTGAGCAGGTCCTGGCCACAGTGGTGCCCCCCCCCCCCCATGGCCTCCATGGTGCCACAATGCCCACACCTCCTCCACCCACCAGGAGGTCCCTGGGCTCCTCCCTCCCAGGGACCAACCGGCCCCTAGAACAATGCTGGGTATACAACAGGCACCAGGCGACCACCCCAGCAGAATGATCGTCAGGGTGATGGCAGAGGCAGCTTATCAACATCCAAGGAGTCACGCAGGTTGCTAAGGGGATCCTTGTAGGACAGATAAAATTCTTATGAGAAAAAACAGTGTTGGTTTCTCAAAAAAAAAAAAAAACTATCAATAAATAAAAGTCATAAAGACAGGAAGTCAACAGAATCCTTCTTCCCGGGTGGGGAGTGAAGGCCCGCTCTCTTGGGTTCTGTTCCAATTAGAATAGTCCAACAGCAAAGATAAGAAAACCCAAACTAAAGTAGGGCCCAGAGTTGGGATTGGGCTGAAGCCCTGGGGAGCCCGGCAATCCTGTCCTCCAGAAAGGCTGCCTGCAAAGAGATGCGCCCCTGAATAAGTCCCTGTGAGAAGTCTTGGGGTGCTGCCGGCCAGCACCTGGCACATGGGGAGGGCTTTAGCTGGGAGCCCACAGCACCTGGCCCCGGCACAGAAGGATGCGTGGAGCAGCCTGTAGCTCTCCCACCACGTCCTCCATGTCTGTTCTGGTAATCTGGTATGAGGGGGAGGATCAGCTGGGCCCCCGTGAGAGGCAGCTCCCCTTCACCTGCAGCTGAACCTGCCAACAGCAGGCCAGGGCGGCCCCTCAGCATTGCAGCGACTGAGCGACCATGCAAACTCCAGTTCTATGGAAAGTAAGGAAGAGCTCTCAGGGTTCTGAGGCATGTGCTGCCGGTGATTTACTAAGTCCCCTTCCACCCCTAAATTTAATCCTTAAAAACCCTTTCCTCCCCAAGAGCCTCATTCTGACTCACCCACTGGCCCTCAGCGCTGAAGAGAGGGAGGCCCACTGTTCTAGTCAGCTTTTTTGCTGCTGTGACTAAAGGACCCACCAGCACAGCTGTAGAGGAGGAAAAGTTCATGGGGACTCACAGTTTCAGAGATCTCAGTCCACAGACAACCGGCTCCATTCCTAAGGTGAGGCCCGACATCATGGCGGAGAGTGTGGTGGAGGGAAGTGGCTCACGTGATAATCAGGAAGCAGAGAGAGAGCTCTCCACTCACCAGATACAAATATGTACTCCAAACCACGCCGCCAGTTCCCACTCCCCCAGCCACCTGCCCTCAGCTACCACTCAGTCAATCCCATCAGGGGATTAATGCGCTGAGTTAAGGCTCTCCTAACCCAACTTTTCTTCTCTGAACCTTCTTGCATTGTCTCACACCTAATGTCTAAACCATCAGCCCATGCTTGTGGGGAGCTCGCCGTAGCCATCTCTCTGGGGCCCGTCCTCACTTAGTTTTCCCAGTGTCAAGGCCACACTGAGCAAGAAGATCCTTTCACTGAAAGCCACCAGCTGCGGAAAAAGGTCTCAGGTGGAAGAGGTGGGCGGTGGTTACCAGGAAGGGTCCGAGGCAGCCCTGGGGATAGGCCTGGGTTCAGCCCCGGCCCTCAGCCCTCCCATTGCCACCTCGGCTCTGAGCCACCATTTCCTCCCGTGCCATGTGAGAAGACCCCAGATGCCTCGGCCCAGCCCTTGGCCCAGGGTGTCATTAGCCCTGCACAGGCCCAGAGGTTAACGCAGAGCCACCGAGGGCAAGGAGGCCGCCACACATGTCCTCAGAAGCTGGATTAGGAAGAGCAAGCAGGTTGGGGCAAGCAGCCCTCACAGGCATGGTTATGAGAGGCCCTTGCTGGCCATGGCCTGCCATTGGCTCCTCTCATGGGACATGTTCAAGGGGGACCTCACACTTGAGGGCACGAAGTTAACACCAAGAGTCAGAAGGATGCTGAAACAAGGACACAGCGCCAAGCCCAGGACCATGGCTCTTCCCTCCTAGCTGCCAGTGCAGAGTCTGGCCCCAGGCAGGTCCCCCTGCAGTGCCTGCTTCCTGAGGGGGCCCTGTTGGTGACAGCCAAGGCCCAGGCAGACCAGAGCCATAGGACATGACTGCCCTGCTTCCTCATCTGCAGGAACCAGGCTCAGGCCTGCCAGCATAACGTGGGCAGAGAGGGTGTGCTGGGTGATGCAGGGGGTTCCCAGCCAGCCCTCCCTGGCCACCCCTACAGGGGTCCAGTTATAGGGCTGGGCCTGCTTCTGGAGGCTCAGTGGTAGCCCGGCCACATCCTGTAGGATTCACCCAATAGTACCTTCCACCTTCCTCCAACAGGACAGGGCCCTTCTTGAGGCGTCTCCCCCTAGGGGTCCCCCTGAAGTGGGGGGCTCAGTTCTCTGGCACAGCTATCTCCTGCCTGGGCTTGGATGACATCTGCTTCATGGACTCCCAGGGTCAGAAACAGCCCTTTAAGAAACGAATTTGATTATGTGTCTCAAAGTAGAAGAGACAAACAGTGCCTCTGAACAAACCCTCCCTAACAGGGGACCCTCGCTCTGACCCTTGTGTGACTTCTCCCCAGTTTACAGATGAGCAAGCAACTTTGATGAGGCCCCATCACTGGCCCTGCCAGACCCACCCGCCTCTGCTCTTCAGTTTCCAATGCTGCCTGCCAATCATGAGCTCAAACCTTCAGGAGTTCAGTATAGAAGAGAAAAACAATGAATGACTCCCTAGACCTTTTTTTTTTTTTAACCTAAAAACTTATCCTTAACTAGGGTTGGGTATATTTTAAAGCTTAGCTGATTTAATGGATTTATTTTTTTAGAAAAGAACCAAATGAGAGTTTCTGTGTGAGCAAATGTGAGGGCAAGTCATTTCACCTCTCTGGGCTGTGGTTCCAGATCCAGGGGATGGGGGGTTGGGCCCACATAGGCTCCTCACTTCTGCCACTCTCGCTTGCTGACTGGTCTCCCATCAGGCGCCCCTGGGAGCACGGGTCCAACCACATCTCTTTCAATGAAGCATGAACAGTGCCACCACCTAGAGCTGCCAGACTAGTAAACAAGAATAAAAGAACATCCAGTTAAATTCGGATTTCAGATAAAAAATGAATGATGTTTTTGTAGCATAAATATGTTCGGTACAATATTTGGGACGTACTTATAGGTTTCTCTAGTTTCTTAGCTGGGGCTGCCATCACAAAGCAGCCACTGACTGGTGCCTCAATCAACAGATCTTTATTTCTGGGTATTCAGTTCTGGAAGACAGAAGTCCAAGGTCAAGGTGTTGGCAGATTCAGTTCCTGGTAAGGGTTTGCTTCCTTGGTGGCAGATGGCCACCAATGTGTGCTCACATGGCCTTTCTTCAGCGCTTTCCCAGAGAAGAGAGAGACAGAGGCAGACAGAGACAGAAAGGCAGAGAGAAAACCAGGAAGCTTGTGTCTCTTCCTGGGTTTCTAAGGGCATCCACCCCGTCATGGGAGCCTCACCCTCACATCTCACCTAACCTCACCTCCTTCCCAAAGGTCTCACCTCCAATGCCATCATAATGGTGTGAGGGCTTCAACATAGAAATCTGGGGGAGAAAGAAGTTTCAAAGGGCATCCTACATTTTATTTGGCAAGTCCATACCACCCAACAGTATGCAAAGTCCCTTGGGCTGGACGAATCGAGGTACCCTGTGAACAGAGTATTAAGAAATAGAAAATCACACCACCCAAGTTCGCCTCCTGCTGCCTTGGTCTAAAATGGACCCCACTCCTCTCATGAGTCCTTTGTCTTCCTTGGGATTTCATACAGTGACCCAAGAAGCATGCTCGGTAACTTCTTAGACATGAAACACTGACGACACCGTCTGCTCTGGTATCCTGGTTATTATTATTTTCTTAATCCTGGTTCTTGTGGTTTCATCGTCTCTCTCTAGTGCAATGAGGCAGAAGCATAGCACTGGACCAGCATTGAGAGTCTGTGGTCTAATACTGCCTTTGGCCCTTACTTGCTGTGCAGCTTGGGCAAATCACTTCGCCTCTCTGGGCTATGGTTACTCATTCACACAATGGTTGTGCTGAACTGCTGTAACTGCCAAGTCTCTTCTGCTCTTTTCTTTTGTCCTGTCTCATGACTAATCACCAGTGCCAGCTGGGAGCATGGGTTCAACTCTTTTCTCTTCTGCTGGCCACACAAACGCACCTTACTTCCAGCAATCATTAAAATCTGGTACCTGACGCCATTTAGGCTTCTGGCCATCACTCTTGGGCAAAGGTGAGGTTTTTTCGTTTCTGTTCCCTTTCCAGCTTGGGCTTAGCTTTCCTCACTTACATCCTAAGCTGTGAAAATGGACAGAGCGGGCAACAGGGAATAGAAGAAGAACTGAAAAAAAAAAAAATCCCGCTACAATAAATTGTATCGCGGTGGAGATCTCTTTCCAACCAGAAAATTCGGAGGCCAGACAATGGCTCATCTGTTTCAAAGCATATTCATAGCAACAGAATTCCAGGTCAACGAAAGGGATTCTCCTTGACTGCAAAGGGATTTAACCCACACCTAGAAAAAAGAGCTCCTCCGTGGTGGATTCTGGGTGTGAGGGAGACCTGTCAACACACCTAGGGTGGTTGGCTGGAGTTGCTGCTACTTCCCTTGGGGCTTGTCCCACCTAATGACAGCATGAGACAGAAGGGTCTGGGGCCCTGCCTGGGAGGACAGTTGGGTAAATATTTGGGCAGCTCTGGCTACTGCTGGAATGGTGAGCAGGAGCCGGGACCAGAGGAAATGGCCCCCGTCTCCCAGGCCCTCCGATGATACATTTTTATAAACATCCAGGCAGGCAGCCGCGAAAAGCTCCTGGGCTTTACAAACACATTTCATATTCCACGGTCAGCGGAGAGCACGCCCTGAGCATGGGCGGTGAAGAGGGGGCAGGAAGCAGGAGGGGTCTGGAACCAGCTTTCTAAATTTAACACGCAGTTGCTTTTAGGCCAAGTGGATAAAAAATAAATTCCAGTGCTTAACACTCTTATCTTTGTTTACCGTTTCCCCAAACAGTGAGTGGCCGGCACTGTGACTCTGAGGCTGAATTATCAACGAGATTCACGCAGGAAGGAGGGATGGACGTGCCTGGGAGGGTGGGGGTAGATAGAGCTACTTGACCACTCTCTGCCTTCCCATGACCTTTATTCAGCCTGACAGAGTGGCCAGGATCTGCTAAAGTCACAAGGCTGTCCCTGGGTGGACGAGGTATGGCTGTGATGTTTCAGAACAACCCAGAAATAGAAGGCACCATGAGGTCACCCATGTCAAGTGACTATTGATGAGGGGCCTATTAAGATCCTTCAGTGACCTTTTTAGGTGCTCTGTCACTGGTCTTGAAAATCCCCAGTGAGCAGAGGCCCACCTCTTCCGTGGCTAAGTTGTGGTCACTGGAAAATCCTTGCCTGAGTTGTCAGGGTCTTTCTCTGGGCCTTACACCATTGGCCTGGTTGCCCTCTCGGAGCTGCGTGGACTTTCCTGTTACATACTGCCCCACAGACATGCAAGGATGCCCTTGTCTCCCCAGGGGTTCCCTAGTCCTTCCAGGGCACCTGGGAGAGTGGCCTATCATGGTCACTTTGCTCCCTGGTGCTCAGTCCCCTCTCTGCCTGCTCATCCCTTGACCTCACTGGTACCCACTCTGTCCTCCCCCTCCCCCAGTGGACAACACACTGGCTTCTCCTCATCCCCAACCCCCAGCCCCATCCAAGAGGCAATATGAAGCGTCCTCCGAGGTCCCCCACTGTCCAGCCATTAGGTTTTCCTGGGCAGCACTGAAGGTTCAGTTCCATGCTTTTCTTTCTCAGCCTCGTCCCCAAGGACTCATCCACCTCTGTGTGGCTGAGCTGGACACTGTCACTTTTCCACTTTGGGCATGAGCTGCTGTCCACCCAGAGCCTCCAGCATGACCCTGCCACCACCAAGCTCCTCCTGCACCTCGACAGGCCCTGTTTCCGTCTTCCTTTCAGCCAGCCAGGAAGGCGGCCTGGAAATGGCTCTTATCTCCCTTCATTTGCTGACCCCTCTCCCGGGTGAGTCTTCGTTTATAGCAACGATTGTGGTATCCAGGCCACATGTGGTAGTCCCCTGGGGAGCTTGGACAGGGATACCAAGTCCTAAGCCCCATCCAGACCAATTAAATCAGAGTGTTTGACCGCGGAGCCCAGCAACGACAGGGACAGCTGGGACGTGTGGCTAACAGGTAGCTGGAGGCTGGACGGTGGCGGTGGCCTGCTCTCACTGACCCGCTTCCCTGCTCTCTCCTCACCACTCCAACAGGACCTTGTCGGAGCACAGGTAGCATTTCCAATGTGTCACCTCTCCTCATCGAAGGCCTCAGCGGCCCCACCATAATAACATATCACTGAATGAACAATTAAAGGGTCTCCTAAACACACAGCCAGTTTTTCTTGCTCTGGGGTCACAGCTATCTACCCCTCCCTGCCCCCAGCCCAGGGGGGGAGCAAAGCCTTTCTGTGCAGTGAGGGAAGAAGCTCATTTTCTCTCCATATTAAGTGCAGTCCACTCTTTCTCCCCAAAGCAGAGAAAGCAGCCGGGGTGATTTAACTGTCATTTACTTAGGAACTTATTTCTCTAAGCATCAAAAACAATCAACTGTGAATGATCCTAAATATTGCAAAACAACAGATAATTCAAAGACTCAAATCTACTTGGTGTTGGAATGCATTTTTGCTGATGAGTGCTTGCATCTGATAATTGGGACAATTCTTTCAAATTAGGTAATTAGATGTATCTTATTTGTTCCTACCCCCCAACACACACACACACACACACACACTCCATAGGAATAAATAACTCAGCTCCCAAAATAGTGCCCTATTTCTTTCTCTCAACTCTTTCCTGGAATAGAGATAATGGTGACTTCAGAGCACTGGAGGGGGCTGGGAGAGGAAAGGAGAAGGAACCCACAGAGTAAACAGAGGAACTAGATGTCAACAAGCTGTTTTAGAAGTCACCCTTAAAATTTAGACAGCATGAACAACCAGTTTGTAAAACTGCTCGAAATAGCTACTCAAACTGGAAATACACATCTCATAGGACCCAGCAATTCCACTCCTGGGTATATACCTAAAAGAAACTTGTGCACATGTTCACCAAAAACCGTATTCAAGAATATTCACATCTGCTTTATTCAAAATGGTCCCCAAACTGGGAGCATCTCAAATGTCCACTGACAGTTGAAAGGATGAATACACGGTTACATGGTGGCAGCGCACAGCAGAGCACCACACAAGAATGAACACACAACAACTATAGCTCCACACCACCACAGCTACCTACCACATGGAAGAATCTCACTAAGAAAACAGGCAGATGGGAAAAGCCTGCCCGCTGGATATTCCACTGATAGAAAGCTCAGGCGAAAATGCAAAAGTCTTCTGTGTGTTAGAAATCAGCTTACTCGTGAAGGGGTCTTGGGGGGACTCAATGTTCTGGAATGTTCTGTCTTGGTCCAGACAGTGCTACACAGGTGTGTTTATACCTTGTGAAAACTCTACACTCCTGTTTGTGCTGTTTTTCTACACGTATGTTATTCTTCCACAAAATGCACAAAAGGAAAGGAAAGAAGATAGAGAGGGAGGAGGGAAGAAAGGTAGGCCCAGGAGCAGGGCAGAGTGGGAAAGGCTTGGAACTTGAACACCTGGATTCAGTTTCACTCTGCCTTGGCTAAGCCATTCACTGTGTGAATCTCTGACTTTTTTTCATTTATAAAATAGACAAGTCTCCTTACCTACCTCACAGTGCAGTTGTGAGGACCAAGTGGAATAGACGTACGAACCATCCGGTGAGCAACACGGTCCTGCACAAAGCAAGGCTGTAATCATCACAGACCTCTGAAGACAGGAATCCTAAAGTGGGTCAGCAGGATGGACAACGCTCCACCCAGGGCCCTGAGCAGAGGACTGACACCCCTGGGATGTGTGTGCAGGATGCAGGTTGGCCACGGCCATTTATCACATCCCCACACCTAATCCCTTAATGTCCAGGAGCACCTGGGATGATCCCTGGGTTTGTATGAGATGGGTTCTGTCTCTTTTCTTTTAAAGTAGATATAAACAGATGCTCTATACACTATCCCAGGTGCTTGTCTAAGGTTTAGGAACATTTCTACATCCAAATCTGCCAAATTCTTTAAGCTAGCCCATGCGCCTTTCTGAGCATTGCCAGTGATGTTGACAGAAGACTCTTCACACCTTCCCCCCAAAACCAAACTCTCAGTGGCCTCTCACTTCCCGCCTGAAACAGCTCACTGGACCCCGATGACCTCCAATGACAGATCTATGGAATCTCAAAGACAAACTGTCAGAGCTGCGAGGATCTTGGCCTCCCAAGTCAGAGAATCACTCAGGAGGCCACCAACCTCCCTCAGTGGCCAGGAAAACTCAGGTTGCCAGGGAGGGGTCTTGCTTCTCATCTTGTGGTTAAAAGGGCAAAGTGAGGTGACCACATTTTCCATGGATGGGTTTCATATGATAGTTACGTTCCTCAGGGAATCAAAGCGCATGGAAATGTTTCTTCTTCATTTAGCTGTGTGGCCCCTAGCTGTCCCCATGCTTAAAGGGTTTCTAATTCCCTGCTTTTAGAGAGCAAAGGCTGGCCCCGCTTGGTCTCTCTGCAAGGTACCCAGGCCAGTGAGGTATGGCAGAGCCCTTACACATGCATTTGATGCTGCTATGGCTACTGCTCAGCAAGGACAGTACTGAAGCCACCCCTGCTTCTGATTCCTTTAGCAAAACAGGAAAGAATTTTTCTGTTAGGTCTGGAGACAATCTTTATGGAAGCAGTGACATTTTTCTTTTCTTTTTCTCATTTATATTCCAGGTCATATCCAGTGTGTGGTATATGTATAAGTACATGAGTGACTCTGTGTAGCTGTGTGTGTGTGTGTGTGTGTGTGTGTGTGTGTGTCTTTCAGAGAGAATAATACACAAAAATCTAAATGTAGCATGGTGCAAGCCTGTAATCCCTATTACTTGGGAAGCCAAAGTAGGAGTATCACAAGTTTAAGGCTAACCTGGTGATTTCAAGACCCTGTCTCAAAATAAAAAATAAAAAGGGCTGAGGATGTAGCTCAGTGGTAGAGCACATCTGGGTTTAATCCCCGGCACTGAAAAATAAAGACCCTAAGTATAGAAATGCAAGACTGGTAGGAGAGGGGACAGTGTTATTTCCTGCTTAAAAAGATTTATCAATAGATTTTCCACAAAGTTCTCTGGTCTATCTACAGCATTTCAACGTTGGTTTAGAGATCTTCTGCTATGAGATAGCAAGTCTAGGAGACCAAGAACCTTAGAAATAAAATTAGAAGTTAGTGTCACTGAAGATTACATATAAATCAGTGTCCCTGAAAATAAAGGATTTCTGTTTTGAGAATGTAAACCATAAGGCAAAGATGCCACTCACTTCTTTATTTTCTGTTTTTCCCAATATTTAATTTTCAACCTTCTAAGGGCACATTTATTTGATAAAATAAGTCCCAGTTGAGATGAATTCAATAGGACTTTAAATTGCTTTCTTCCTAACACATCTTTATAGAGTGATTCAATACCGAAGACAGAGGCCTCCAGAGAAAATGAGCTCCTGCCACTGAATATGTCCAACAGAAGTATCCCCTGCTGGTCAGGCCCGTTAACTTTCCAGGGACTTTTGCCTTTGTCATCTCATTTGCCCTACACTGCCAGATGGGAGGGACAACATCATGATCCCAACCGGCAGCCATGGTGACCTGTCCATGTTGCCCTGGTGACTGGCCCAAGGTCCCAGCTGATAGGTGATCCACCGGGATCTGAACCCTGCCTACCCTGGCCAGATCAGGTGGCTTCCCCAGACACAGCCAGGGTGAGGGAGAGAGGCTGCAGATTCTTCCCAAATTCTGAGTAGTTTGGCCTTTGCGGCAGGAGTCAGGGAGATCCCTGGGAATGACTTTTAACCTTATCTTTTGGAAGCGCTGAAGTTTAGCATGCTGCCTGGCTTGGAACTGGAGAATATCCTACTCAGTCCACCAAGTTTTCCTGGCCCACAAGGGCTTGCAGACCTGCCTGAGCCCTGACTAGCTCTTAGTAATGCATCTGCTGGGTTCTGCTGACAGGGGGCCTGGGCATGTGGAGGCCGAAGGCACCTAACAGACTGTGCCCCAGAGCTCAGCCTGGGGCTCCTGTCCTCCTGTTTGCCTGGCTGCCTGGAAGCTGCTTCCATTTTCGACAGGCTGAGTGAGCCGCCAGCCTTTTCTTCCAAGGAAAGGCACTTCCTTCCTCTCCCTCTTCACCCAAGTTAGATCCCACCCCAGTTTTTTATTTCAGGGTTTCTAGGTGCCAAAGAAAAATATGCAGCATCCATACCAGCTACCATCCCCGTTTCCTCTCTTGGCAGCCACCACCCACCATGTGCTTCCCACCCAGGGCCACACCTGTGTCCTCCAGCATCTTCAGGCTTGGCCCAAGCAGTTGCCCTCATGAGATGCCTTTCTGCCCCTCTGCCTGGCAAACGACCACTCTCCAGGGCCAGCTCACAATGGCCCCTGATTCACTCGGCCAGCCTGACATTCTGTACACACACCTCGGGTTTTCTGAATAGGTGTTCCATTCACTATTGTCACTTAAACTTTTTATTTACCTTTTTATTATGCAGAGTGTTAGCATTTATAAATTAGAAGGCTCTCTACCTGTCACCCACCTCAATAGGACCCACCTGGAGCCACCCAGCTTCATTGATTTCCACACTCTTCTTCCTCCACTTCCAACTTTTAAAAATATTCAGACATCATATATATCCAGCCATCTGTCAATATTCAGCATATATATCTTTAAAATGAGAAGTCTTTTCTAAAACATGACCCCAATGCCATCATTACACTAAAAACAAAATGGGCCATAATTTTTTTTTAAGGATCAAATATCCAGCTGGTTTCAAAGTCCCCTGATTGATCCATGGTATTTGTTTTTCATTGGTTTGTTTGAACACACATCAAAACAAACCCACCCACTTTTCATCAGAAAGGTCTCAGTGTAGACCTTGGTCCCTGCCCCCCCACTCCAGCCTCCTAGGTCCCAAATGTCTGGGGTGCATGCTCTTCATCTGTTTTCCATCCTCCTCATCCACTGGATTGTATCCTGATAGAGAGAGAGAGAGAGAGAGTCTCAAGGGAGTAAAAGAGCCAGTGTTGTTAGTCACACCTCCTGGGCCTAGCACAGTATCTGCTCCATAGTATGTGCTGACTCCATACAAATTCCTGAATGGCTAAATAAATGGTCTCCCAAGAACTAGCCTTCCACTCCTCCAAAGCCCATTCTAGAAAACTTTACACATCTAGTACCATGATGTGCTTGGAAGTGTGTTTCTCCAAGGGGCAGGGCCCTTGTCATATCCAGATCCCAGAACCCAGCGCCTGACTGGCATGAGGTGTTCGCTGAGGGAGAGCTAAAAGAAAGGAGCACTTTTCTCTCCGTGAGATTTTGGGCTCCAAGGCTTTCCTCTCTGCATCTCCTTTTTTTTCTCATCTCTATCTGAAGAATTTGGATGCAATGATTTCTAAGGTCCTTTTCAGGAATGGGGAACCCTCATTTACCATACGCTTGCTGCCCTCTGCTGGCAGGACTGGCTCAGGACCCTGAATCACTGAGGTTCAAAGCAAGAACTACAGGCCAGCAAATAGGGGTGGGTGGACGGAGGGTCTGCACCTGGGATGGGAACTTGACCTTTGTTGCCTTGTTTGGGTTACACTAGAACATAGTGGGGCCTCCCTCCACCCCTGCCTTCCACTCCTCCCATGTGGAGGCACTCATGTCGCAGACAAGCTTTAAAAGAACTGGTGCCCAGTCCCTACCCCGGGCCACGCATCTAATACCTGAGGAGTGGGGCCAAGTGCCCACGTGGATTAAAAGCCATCCAGCTGGTTCTGATGCGCAGGCGCACCCAGACCCACTAGGCCAAGGTGATGGTCACGTGTGAACCTTGAGTAGGAAGCTAGAAACACAGAAAGCCATCCAGAGGAAGAGTGGATGGAGACTTTGGTTTTATAATCAGCCTATCTTAACAACTTCCCTTGACAAACCCTGACAGCTTATATTTTTCACTGGGAACTTACACTATGAACCTGCTGGGAGCATGGCTTCTAGATTCGGTGTTGTTTCTTTTGTTTTCTTTTCTCTTTTTGCTTTTCTTTTTTTTTAATCACTCCTTCCTTCCTTCCTCCCTCCCTCCCTCCCTCCCTCCCTCCCTCCCTCCCTTCCTTCCTTCCTTCCTTCCTTTTCTTCTTTCTTGCACATTCTTGCATTTGTTAAGACTCCTTTGCTTGCAGATAACAGAATTCAGATGCTAACTTTGGCCACAAGTGAGAATTTGCTAGAAGAGCGCTGAGATGCTACCCCCAGGCTACTTGCCAAAAAGCAGATGGCCAAGGGGAACCGGAGCTCGGGAAGACACCAGGAAAAAGTCTCCCTGTCCTTTGCCTCTGCCTCCCTCCACTTGTCTAATTTGTGTCTTCTTTCCCAGGCCAACTGTTGTTTTCTGTTCATTAATCCCCGAGGCAGAAGGTGGCCACCAACAGCTCATGCTCAACCCGTGTTCAACTTCTGCCTGCTACACAACGCTCCTTTTTTCCTTTCTCCTTGGCCAATCATAGTCTGCAAGCTGACTATATAATTTGTGAGCCCAAAGCAAAGTAGAAACGTGAGGGCCTCTCTTCAAAAAGCAGGAGGAAGTGCCACTAATGGTGCAGATAAACCTCTCCCTTTCTTCCAAAACACAGGCTCAAAGATAAAGTTATGCCAGTCGTGGTGGTGTCGCATGCCCATAATTCCAATGGCTCAGGAGGCTGAGGCAGGAGGATTGTAAGTTCAAAACCAGCCTCAGCAACTTAGCAAGGCCCTAAGCAACTTAGTGAGACAGTCTCACTAAATAAAATATAAAAAGGGCTGGGGATGTGGCTCAGTGGTTAGGCGCCCCTGGGTTCAATTCCTGGTACCAAAAAGAAAAGATGAAGTTATTAGGACTCTAAGACAGCGCCCACAGAGCATCAGCCCCCAAGCACAGGGCCCTTCCCACTGCTCAGAGCTCATCTGGCAGCCCTGGTGGCCTGCAGTGGAAGTGGGAAGTGTGGTGTGAAGGTGTGAGATCCTAAGGAAGGAACAGTACCCAGAAATGAGATGAGAGCGCACTGGGAAAACCAATCATTGTTATTTTTTATCACAAAGTCTAATTCCTCACTTGTCTTCCAAATTCACAAACATACAGACCTGGGATTAAACTATAATGATTCTGCAACTTGACTCAGGGGCATCAAGAACAGATGCACCATACTGAACAGCTATACCATCAAAGATTAGCTAAAACTTTTACCATGGACTTCAAGACTCCGTGCATCCTGGCCCTGCCCCTTCTGCCACCTTCGTCCCTTCTACCTTCTCTGCATTTCTAGCAGGTTCACAGGCAACAGTACTGCTACTGCCCCCAGGGAAATCATTGGGAGATCAAGTCACATGGTGGCTCCCAGGTTTTAAGTGGTTCCCCCCTGCAAGGGGAGCCAGGCCACCTGAACCTATCTATGGAAGCAGTGGTGGCAGAATGAACTTGTCCAGGAGGACTATCTCATGGTGCTCCGGGGAGGGGCGGGGACATAAGAAAGCCCCCCCTCCACCGTGGGGATCCTTCCTGGATTAGTGTTAGCTAATTGACCTACCAACCGACTCACTTGGCCCTGGGGAGTGTGGTGAGAGGCTGGGAGTGCCGGGGGAAGTCCTCCCTTGCAGAAACCAGGCCAGCAGTGAATAAACTGAGCAGTGAATAAACTTCCGGTGCCTCCACCCTGACCCACCCCACCCACTGGTGTGCCCACATCCTGCTCCACCCACCTGCAATATGTCCCCCCCCTTCAACTGTGGGTGAGAGTCAGGGAGTGATGCTAGGATCCCCCAATACCTGAACCCCCCCAAATCTGAGTAGTTCCCAACTTGCCCTAATCTGCTGTGTGAAAATGGGGATCTCATTGATTTACTTTGGTTTCTCATCACGACCACTTGTAGTTCTTCGGTTTGGCTATGAGCATCCTTTCAACAGCTTTCCTAGTGAGTTCTTTTCTTACTGATTTATAAGAGTTCTCTGGGTTTTTGTTACTATTAAGATTTTATAAATGTTGCAAACATCTTTTTCTTCTTTACTATTTCATTATTTGTCTTCTAACTTTGGGATGTACCGATTTCCACCCATGTGACAGCCTCTCTCACCCTCAGTTTTCTCATCTAAGAAATGGGAAAACAGCTTCCTCATTGGTCTGCTGGGAGGTTTGAAGGGGTAATTGATGTGCAGAACTCAGCCACATCATCAGGTCTTAATAAACGCAACTTGCTGCTGTAATTTGGGAACAAAATCTATGTTACTTTCACCCAAGTCCAAGACTGTACCTGCTCATAATGTCCAGCACTGTGAAGTTCAGCGCAACAGAACATGTGGAGCGCGGGTCTGATGCCACCTGGATGGCATCTACTTCTCATCTTGTGGGTTTTTCACTTGAGTGTTTGCTAAGGTCGCAGTGGAACTCAAGTTCATGAAAAAGGCATAGTGCCGTGGGGCTCCAGTTAACACGACCTTCTTCCCTTGTCTCTACCCTGCATTAGAGGGCCCCTGAGTACCACAGCCTCCAGGAAGGCCTGCCCTATATGGACATGGTGATCGCAGAGACCCTGAGGATGTACCCGCCGGCATTCAGGTATGTGTGCAACCCCCACCCTGCCCTGCACTCTGGGTCCCTTCAGCATCGCAGTTTGGAACCCTCACTGGTTCCAGCCTGTGACCAGCTGTGTTATCACATATGCTCTTGATGACAAAGTCTGAGTCCTGGGTTCCTTTGTCTCCCGTGGCACCAGGCACAATGCCCCAGATGTTTGGCCCATTCTGCTGTAGGTTAACCACCTTCTCAAAGCATCACCAGTCTTTCCTTAATGTAGTCTTCCTCCCCGACTCAAGCCAATCTCTTTGGCCTCCTGCCTTTGATGGAGTTCGCCACTGCCCCTGTCTAATCATTTATTCATTCAGCAACTGTTTATTAAGCATCTACTTTGCCAAGCACTGGGAAGTCAGCCTGGATACAAAGCAGATCAAAGTCCCTGCCCTTGGAGACAACATCATCCAGGGCTGGGGATGCTCCTCCCTGGTGTCCAACAGCTCCAACCCGTAACATCCTCCAAACTCCTAGACAAGACTTCCCAGCCAAGGACATCTGACTCACCTGTCGCCCCTCCTCCCCTGCCAGCACTTTTAGCAGTAATGGTACTTCATATTATATTCTCCGACACACTTTTACCACCCCATAACATGTCACTAACGTACAGTCAGCAACGCCAACCTGTAAGTGCCCTGGGAGTAGGAATCAAATCTGTTTCTTTCAATTTTCCCCAAATGGGGCTCCTCTTGGAATAGGGCACTTAACCTTGGTCCACAGGCTCTCAACAGCAGCAAAACTGTGGCCAGGTTTCAGGTTATAGAAACAGAAGAAGCACAGGCAGTTAATTGTATCTCATGAATTCCAGTCAGCACTTCCATGAATCAACATACCACAGAGACCATATGGAGGTACCTTTTGCCATTTCTAAAGAGAAAATGTGGAAGATTTGAGGGTATCTCAAAGTGATATTTCAAACCAAAAGCATTACAAAGAGTGTGACTATAGATATTATGCAAGATGTTCAAGTTCAGAAGCAAATACGAAAACTTACAGTGGTGTGCATGCCAGGTGTCTTGGTATGAGAGGCCAGTGAGTCAGGGGCTCTGCCAACACCAGCATCAAGACCTGATTCCGTGGCTCTTTCTTAATTTTCTTGGGAGCCTCAAACAAACTGCTTTCCAATCTTTCCTCCCCTCCTCGCCTCCCGCCCTCTCCTCCTCCCTTCTCCTTCATGATTTATATCCAGCTTTCTTCCAAGGGGACTGTGGGCAGTGGTATGCACATTAAAATGAAGTTCAAAACAAAACAGTCAGTGATAAAACTGAATGAGTCTGCTTAAAGGGCCCTTACTGGGCTCAGAGATGGCTGCTAACTGGGGTCAGACCTCTGCGTGGTGGCTGAGGTTCCTGGCAGAGAGCGGAACCAGCTGAGTTGAACAGTTGTGCTCCCCAGTGGGAGGAAAGTTACAAACTGATTAAAGACACACTATTTCCTGGATCTAAACTCAATCAGGAATTCACCCCATGAGACCTCATGTAGGTGGCATGTTGAAGAACAAAGTGAACGGCCTCTAAAATAGAAAAATCAACCTGGACAGGTGTGGGGACACACAAATGCTATGGTCAGTTCTCTTGGCAACCCCTTAATAAAGAGTCACTTGGTACAGTCATTGCTCTGGGGACCAGGTTGCCCATGATCTCAATTGAATCAACATACCACAGAGACCATCTTGAGATACCTAGAGAATCTGGGTGCATTGACTAAAGTTCCCCTATAGAAGTGCACTGGGGGATCTTGGGAAAGCCCCACACTGGCTCTGGGCTTCTCTTTCCCATGACACCTGTGCTGCTGGCCCCACCCACAAAAACTTGAAGAGGCTCCAGGAAAATAGATATGGAAGCATCTCTAGGCAGCTACAGCATGAGGGTTGCGGAGAGGGGACAAGGCGCTGGGCTTGGTCCAGGCCAGCTCTTTGGCAGCTCACTCCCCCAGCCTTCAACCCCCACCAGACAGCAGACACAAGGGGTGGGGCAGTGTGACATTTAGGGGGATATAGGGACCGTGAGCATTTTGTTTATTTTACTTTCTCCCAGAAATGCATGGTGACTTCTCCTGAGCACTGTCACAGCTTGACTCACCCACAGAAGAAACTCAGTGTAGAAAATGTGACAATTCTTGGTTAGTGATCTGAATGAATCCACTTGGGCACAGTACCACTCAGCTGACCGCAGGCCTCTCCTGAGGCCTAGTCCAGCCAGGCAGGAGACCCAGCCACTGGACGGGCGGGCCCTACTAGCCAGCCTCCAGTGGTCAAAGCTGATTCTGGTAAAGATGAAAAAGCACAGGTGCCAGGGGATGGCCTGTTTTGTCCCCTTTGGGACAGGTTACAACTTCACAAACCCCTGCCCTGGTCTTAGTGTGGGTGTGTGCTACCATCCCAGGCACATGCTCCTGCATGAGTAGGTCAGGATCTGAATAGGGTCTCCTTCCTGGCATCTTAACTATTCCAGTCTTAAAGGGAAACTTAAAACAGAGGAGAACAGAGAGAGGAGCCTCACATTTGCTCTTGGTTTCTTTTATGAGCAGGAGCAGGGTATTATCATAACTAATGTAATAATTATATTTCCTCTAAGGTATTTAGGTAAGCTTCAGGGCAGAGTGGTGCACACCTATAATCCCAGGTGGCTGAGGCAGGAGGATTCCAAGTTCTAGGCCAGTCTTGGTAACTCACAGAGACCCTCTCTCAAAAAATAAAAAGGGCTGGGCGGGTGAGGGGGGCAGATTTGAAGTAAAAGCCAGCATAGAATTATTTTTAATTTTTGAAGTGATTATATTACCAAAATAACTTGCTTATACTTTAAAAAAAATAAAGAAGGATCCAAAGGAATCCTTCTTTGCCCGAGTCCAAGTCCCTTGAGAAGACACTAGTACAAGTTGAGGCATTCTTCCAGAAATGTTAGATTCGTACGCAAACTTCTATAGTCTACCCTAAAAATAAAACAAATGGCATTATGCCATTGCCATCAAGCATGACAACCTGACCAGACCTCCTTCTCTCTAGCAGAAGCAGTTATCTGCAGAGAGGCAGACAATGGAGAACCCCAATTTCCTTTAGGTAAACCTCACAGGACTTATAGAGCAATCTAACTCACAGAGACAGAAAGCACAAAGGTGGGTTCCAGGGACTGGGGGAGGGGAAGGAGGTCAGTAGTTAATGGGGACAGTCTCCCTTGGGGAATATGAAAAGACCTGGCAGTAATGGTGGTTCAATAGGCATGGACTTAATGCCACAGAACTGTGCACTTAAAAATGGTCCAAATAGTAGGTTTTATGCTATTTATATTTTACAATAAAATAATAAATAAATAAATGAGTAAATCCAACCTCACCAGGGTCAGTTCTGGCATTAGAATATTCCAGAATTACCATAGCAGCTGACTCATCAGCTTTGAGGCTGTTATAGTCAGACACCCTCATGTTCTGTTTTAGGGATTAATATGCAGGAGATTTCCCATTGATTCTGGGCACTTGGCGGGGGGAGTCGGGGTGGTACAGAAATGAGCAGGGGTAGGCTGGCAGGGAGGAGGGATGTGCATCCCTGAGATTCCAGTCAGGTTGGGGAAACAGGCCTCCTCTACAAGGGAAAGTGTGTTGGAGACCAAGCCTTGACATGGGCCGTGACTGGCACCCCCACCAGCCCTCCTGTTAGGAAACATCGAAGGTGAGGAAGTGGGCTTTGTTTCCTTACTGTGGTCCATGCCTAGTAAGGGCACAGTGATGCACACCTATAATCCCAAGGTCTCTGTAAGTTACTGAGACTGGACTAGAACTTGGAATCCTCCTGCCTAGTAAGCGGGCTGATGTTGAAATCAGAAAGAAACTTCTAACACCATATTCCCAGAAGTAGCTGGGAAGAGGGTGGGCAGGTGGGAAAGGGCAATGTGATACAGAGAAGCTAGTGGCTGTGACTCCGCCCTTGTCCTGAAGGTTTTGTCCCATCTTTTAAAATTCCAAACAAACTATGGCCAGAACTCTTAGAAGCTTGTGCTAAACCAAAAATCTAGAATTCTACATTTTTGTAATCCAAACTGAGGAAATGAGAGGTTCTTTGGCTTTCCATCTCAACTTTTGTTTCTGGGAAATTCTAGATCTAAAGTGTAATAGCATATTCATTTAACAGGACCTCAGAATGAGGGCATTATATAGGGTTTAAAGTCAGGCTCCAGAGGTTTAAGGTGAAAATGATTGAAATGGGGCTGAGTCTAGGACACAACTGTTTAGGGGCTGGTAGCTATAGGGAGGCGAGGGTATTAAAGGGAGGCTTGATAGTTGACACTCCTCTGTTTTATCTCAAGTGAGCAATCTATTGTTCTGATAGGAAAGCTGTTTGCCCAGATAAATTAGTTTGCTTTACTTTCTAAAG